GAAGGCTAGAAGGTACCTTGAGAACCTCTTGGAAATTTGTATTGAAACAGGTGAAATAAAGAACGAAGAAGCAGACAGACTGTAGAAGCAATTTACTTCTAAACAAGTCAGCGTTCTCTATGTTGTGCACCAGAGAATTTCATTTAATGCATCAAGTATTCACTCGGAAGAAATACTGAATATGCTAAGAAGTTTTTACATTCAGCTTTTGCTATAAAGTTTCACTCTAGTCAACTGAAACATTCTTTGAGTTTTCAAAGAGAAAAAGCAAATACAACCACATCATTTTCTTTAAACACAGACCATGTTATTTAACACATGTACCCATAACCCAGGAATAATGTAAATAAAGGAGGAGAATTATGAGTAATTTTGTATCAACTGAATATATTTGTTAGATTTTCATATATTTTGAATATTTGGTGAAGAGGTAGAACATGGTGTATAGATCCAACAAGTTCAGACAGTAAAGTTACTATATTTTACTTCACTCTTTTGGTGCTGGGAATCAAATCCAAGACCTATGTGCATACTAGGCAAGCCTTCTACCATACAGCTACCTCCCCACACCGGACAATAAGTTATTTTAGTATAAAGACATAAGGGTCAGGCTAGGGGCTAGATTGAAACTATTTAAGTTAAAAGTTAAGTTCCCTCATTATTCAGGGTTCACCCCATTCCTGGAAGGAAGTCTGTCATGGGTTGAACTGTGACTCTCCAGGATACATTATTCTGAGGTCTTAGGCCCAGTACTCAAAATATTTCTGTATTTAGAGGTAGGGCCTTTAACAAGGTAATTAAGTTAACATGGGGTTGTTAGGTGGCTCTAATTCAATATGACTGGGGTCACAAGATGGGATATCTGGATGTGCTGGTCCAGAGGAAAGACCAGGTACAGACATAGCAAGAAGACAATGATCTGCGATCCTAAGAGAGAAACCAGGAGAAACCAACCCTGCCTATACCTTGAACTCGGGACCACTCTCTGATGTTAATAAATAGGTAAGTAGCTGTATTTATTCTTATTTTCTAGATGACAAAACAGACCTGGAGAACTGAAGGAACTTTCTTAAGGTCTCATATTCCGTGGGGGCGGGAATTTGGGTCATCCGTACTCCAAGGTCCCTGGGTCTGTTTTAACTCTGGCCTGGTGTCCCTCTGTGCCCTTTTCGGGGATTTCTTCCCTCTATTATTTACTAGTTTTCCTCTGTCTTCCTTTCTGTCAAGTATTCCATGGGCTTTGTTACCTAAAGTAGTCTTCTGCAGTAATCTACCAAACGTGGCTGTCTTTGAGGGTACAGCTTTTCACTTCTTTTTGCTATCCTTCTTGGAATCCTTGAGAAAGGAAGGATAAACTACCAACTTTCTCCCAGGAAAAATGTCCATCCACACAGTGTCTTGATTACAAAGGACTTTAGCTAAAACTCAAAGCTAAAACTTCAGCTATCACTGATTTATTCTCTTGAAATAAAAAAAGATACCTTGCCACAATTCCTTTTCCTAGTGGTCTTGCTAAATAAGTGGTTATTCTTATGTGTCAGGGGATGCTTATGGATAGATACAAGACTGACTGATCTGCTCATTTCATAGGCATTTTTGAGTGCCTCTCATGTATAAGGCACAATACTAAGTCCTGTTGGAATTTAAAAGTGAATTTTATACTAGCCTGCCCTTAAGATGTTGCCAAACAAGAGTCAGTAAAACTC